CCTTACAGGACCCCACAGAACAGTTCTCTTAAGCTTCTATGCCAGAGGCAAAAATAGAAAGCAAATTGCCTAGGGCCCCCTCCGTGTGTCTCATTCCCTTGCCCCCAGACAATCCATGTGTCTTATTCTCTTGCCCCACCACCTCCATGTGCCCAATTTCCTCGCCCCCATTTTCTATATGTGTCTTATTTCCTCCCCGCCAGGTGTCTCATTCCCCCCAGGCCCTCCATGTGTCCCATTTCCTCCTTCCCTTAAAAACCACTCCATGTTTCCCATTCCCTCCTCCCCACAGGCTCCACATTTTTCTCATTCCCTCCTCCCCCAAGCCCCTCCCTGTGTCCCATTCCCTCCTTCCCCCTCAGTCCCTCCATGTGTCTCATTCCCTCCTCACCCCCAGTGCCTCCATGTTTCCAATTCCTTCCTCCCTCAGGCCCTACATGTTTCTTATTCTACCCTCCCCCCTTAAGCCCCTCCATGTGTCCTATTCCCTCCTCCCTTCCAATCCATCCATGTTTCCCATTCACACCTTCACCCCAGTCTTTCCATGTGTTCCATGCCATCTTCCTCCCCAGCCCCTCCATGTGCCCCGTTCCCTCCTGCACCCATCCCCTCCATGTTACTCTCCCCCCCTTCTGTACCTGCTGGCCGTGATACTTGTCTAACAGGAAGGGCTCTCTCAGTGAGCACTTCCTGTCAGAACACTCGGCAATGCTACACACAGCGGTAAGAGGGGAGCAGCACAGCGCAGCACTCTTTTCCTGCTGGTAACCCAGCCCTGGGTTGTTGTGGCAGTGCACTGTCCCTGAAAGGTATGTCTGTGGCCCACAGTCGCAGGAGTCGCAACTGCGGTCGGGCCCCCTGCAGTGATGAGCTTGGTCACTGCAGTGATGCCTGTGACCATGGTAGGTACGCCACAGCTCTATGCAGTTACTGAAGGACCAACAGAGGTTCTATACCAGAAATGTGTTTTGTTTTGTGTGACATGTAGCTCTTCCCTCCAAAATGTCCAATCTTTCTCAAAACTTACCAACTTACTTAGAATACTTACCAACAGACCTGTATCCCATATATGTGTTTGAACTCAAGATTCTGGTCCCACTATCCCTGGCTATTTCTCAATACCACCGCAGAAAATGAATAAAAAGTGCATAAATGCAAATGTGCAAAAGTGTAATTAAAATCACTTTTCTAAAACCTTGTAGAGAACCATCTGACTGCCATGCCACCACATGTGCACTGCATATACATCATATCCCTATGTATCACTTTGTGTAATCTCAAAGTTATACTGAGAAGACTCCACATCACACTGTGAATTAATAGAAAACAAAGGGAGCTCAATCTGCTGTGAGCAAAGTATGAAAGGATATTTGCATTTCCCTGTGTCAATATATATCTTCTGTGCCGCCCAGGTTTATATTTCTGTGTTTGTGTGATTAATAGTGAGGTAGAAACATATGCGCACACATGCCAGTATAGGTGTGGCCTTTCTATGAATTAATATAATTAATAGAATGATTTTTTGGAAATCCGATTACTTCCTATCAGTACAGTAGAACGGTGCTGTGATTTAATAGCATTACCGGTGTCTCATCTGTCAAGAGACATCATGTAACAGCAGAATATTTCTTGTGCGAGGAACTGACATTTGCAAATTGTGAAAAGTCTGAAGTGAAATAGCTTTGGACGCTTGGAGATGATCTCTCGACTCACTGCAGATCTTCGTGTGTATTTATAGTAACCAAGTGGTTTCCTTGCCAATTAAACTAATAAATACCAGAAAACCTCTCTTTTGCAGACAGGGGACAATAAAACAATCAAAGCTGATCCGATGTTACAAGAACAGTTAGTTCTTCATATTTTTGTTGTTTTGGCAAAGGGAGACTTTGTTTCATGATGTGCGCCTCAAACAAACATGATTGTTTTAAAAAAACGATTCAGTGTCAATAATATGTCAGGGTGGATGTCGTAAATGGAATAATAAGAAGAGAGAGATAGAAGATACGAGAGTACAAGTATAACATGACTAGTTTTGGCCTATATTGCACATAGTCATAGCAGGATTAACAATAAGGCGACCATTGGTGATCACCAAGGGCCCAGGGGTTAGAAAAGGAATTAACCGTGTTAGAAATGAAGGGGGGGGAGGGGAAGACCCCAAACTGGTAACTTGCCTAGAGCCCTGTAGGATGGTAATTCTTCTCTGCACGTAATAAAAATAAGACAATTAAAAACAGAGATATCAAAAAGTCTAATCACTTCTACATGTCTCCAAGATTCAGCACAGGATTCGCCAAACAAAAAATACATTGATTTCCGAGATAGGAAAGGATATATATTGCTCAGTATCTGAAACATGCCTCTCTATCATTAATAAATTATTAAGGGAGGATCAGGACCTGCTCTTATTCTGCTAGGATTTCAGCAAGGGCCGAGTAAATCTTGTGAGGTGCATTGACAACATGAATTCTTAGTTCCCCGGGAAGTGGCAATCCTTTGGAGACTGCCATCCACGTGTGAATTCTGGAGCCTTTGTGTCAAATTCTCAATTGTTTTTAGCTATAAAAATACATCCACGAGACCTTGTTTTGAAATACAGAGGGCAGAAAGCACACCCCTTCCCCTTATATTCCCATGCCCTAATCGTCTTTGCAACCTCTAGAGGTGAACACACTGCGGGGTGCTTTACCCCAGAAAGGATTGGATGCATTTCTAAATACCGGTTTAGCTAAAATATAGCATCAAGAAATGAAAGGAAGACTGGCTGATTGCTTCCAGATGTATAAATTCAACTGTTACTAAAAAGTCTAAATATAACCATACTTTGGCAGGATGAATCCCCGAGGATTTAGGAATTAATATGTTTCTTCTGTGTAGATTGTGTTTTTTAAAGGCATCCAATTGTTCTCTTCGTTTACAATATTCTTATCTGTCACATATCAATCTTTAAATATGTTTTCCTAGAAAACAAAACGTATTGGTGACGGCTAATGATGTCAAATATTATTTTATTGGTTAAATGGGTCAAAGTATTGAGTGCGTGATATTTCGAGATGTGATGGCTTTGTTGTGACTGTATTTAAAAATTCCTATGGAACCATTCAATACTCTACTGAAAAATTAGCTGGAATTAATATATTTTTGCTCCATTCTTTTAAAACGCTGATGTTTGTCTTTGATGCTATTTACATTTGCTCTGTGTAACTGTTATGTATTATTGGACAGAGCAAGGATCTGTTTCATTTTAAAACTCGAGTTTCGGTAAACCAAATGTTGGGCCTGGGACATTTAATTGAGGTTTCAGAGATCTACAAATATTGTCCATGTATAGGCCACCAATGGGCTGGGACCCCCAGCCTGTGTTATTTCCCTCCTTTAGGGTCTCTACTGGGGGGAGCCAAAGAACCCTGGGAAGAGAGGCTTATACCCTACTCTATTTATGCACCGGCATTGTTAAAGACTCTGGGCAAAGACTTATGATATCACATCCTAACAATCCCTGTCTATAAGTAGGATTTTTTTTCAAATTTTGTGTTTTGGCCTCATGTTTGAAAAAAATAAGCAATAAAGTGGCAAAACTGAGACCAAATATGTTTTAAAAGAATATTTTTCTTCATTTATTCCCCAGGTATGGGTTAAAATCCATCCTGCAACGTGTAAGAAACAGATTTTGCAATTGACCAATGTAGCAGCGTCCAAGTTCACAAGTTAGTTGTCAATTCAATATTTATGGAAAACCTTTATGGGTTCGATATTTTTGCAGATTGTTCTACACTTGGTAAGCGACAAAATATTTTTTTAAATACCAGCGATTCTATGGCATTAATTACATCACAAATAATGGCAATCTGTTTAGACCAAGTATAGAAAATGATAATATAAAACACACAGATTGTGTTAAATCCTGCGTTCTAATCCAAAATGCTTTCAATCTCAATATTTTTTCTTAAGCCTTCGCGAGTTTAACGTTAAACTATAAAAACAGACTTCAGTTTCGCAAAAAATAAAGTTGTAAAATGCTGATCACTGGCATGTGTAAAACATTCTAATAAATATCAGACAGCGCACCTGGAACGGGAAAATTCATAAAAGGTTTTTTTCAATTAAAATGGAATTGTAGTCAATTACTAAGTGCACTAAGCAAAAAATGCTGAAGAAAATGCCAAAGAAGATTGCCCACGTGCGGAACATTGTAAAATGATTATTGTGTGGGCATAAAATGATCTGCTGAGTGTCTGTTTATCAGTTTAGTAAAGTAATCATACTGCTCTGCTTGAGATATTTTCTGTCCTTAAAAGTAGGAAAAGTAGAAAAACTACTTGAAATGGAAGAAAAATAGATACATAATTATAATAATAAGAACAAAAGGGTTTAGGAAATGAAAAGAGAAAATGTATAAGAAAGAAGAAAACAAGAAAATGTATTTTTAAATATATTTTTTTAATATATTATCTGTGCTATTAAAGATGGAGGTAATCTTCAACCTAGAGGGGACTTTAAAGGGCTCTATAGTCACCAGAATCACTACAGCTTAATGCAGTGGTTATGGTGAATATAGTCTGATCCAGAGAAAATACAGTGTTTACATTGCTGCCTAGGAACACATCCAGTGGCAGTTGCTCAGACTGGGTCAGTGCTGCACAATGGGCAGCACTCGTGTTCAATGTCTCCGTGATCTGCATGGAAACGCTAGGAGATGCTGATTGGCACAGTGCAGTATTTTGCTGCGCATGGAATTGCATGCAACAGCTGTGGGAAAGCATTGGACTGGCTGATATCATCAAGATCTCAGCCGTGGAGGCGGGGCCAGTCACGATGAGGACGGTGTGGCCCGGGAAAAAAGATGAGTAAAAATACCTTTTAAAAGTAAAAAGAATGACTGGGAACGTAAACTGTTATTTTACCACTAGTGATGTCCCGAACGGTTCGCCGAACGGTTCGCCACGAACGGTTCGCTGCGGACTCATCATTGAGTAAACTTTGACCCTGTACCTCACAGTCAGCAGACACATTCCAGCCAATCAGCAGCGGACCCTCCCTCCCAGACCCTCCCACCTCCTGGACAGCTCACTAAGAATGCAGCTTCACAATGAATGTAAAATGGATGCTGTCCAGGAGGTGGCAGGGTCTGGGAGGGAGGGTCTGTTGCTGATTGGCTGGAATGTGTCTGCTGACTGTGAGGTACAGGGTCAAAGTTTACTCAATGATGAGTCCGTGGCGAACCGTTCGTGAACCGTTCGGCGAACCGTTCGGGACATCACTATTTACCACCATAGTATCAGATATGCATGTCTGGGATCCTGACACGTTCCTTTAACCCCTTAAGGACACATGACATGTGTGACATGTCATGATTCCCTTTTATTCCAGAAGTTTGGTCCTTAAGGGGTTAAGGACAGACAATAAGTTCTGGATGGTTTTTCCAATTTAGTGGTTTTGGTACACACGTCTCCAGAAGTCACGTTAGTGGAGTTTTGCTATAATGTCAAACCGTCACGCGTTTTACCTTTGACCTCCGCAGACTGCAAGTGTGAATAAAACACAAGGAGAGTGACAGTATTGTGTTTGTAAAACTACAACCTCACATTTAATACCGCCGAGCATTAATGGATCGAGGCTTGAAAATTGTCCATCACATTCTCTGCTCCCAGTTCTTCCTTCATGCCTGGCCCTGGTCTACATAAAGGATTTACCCGGACTGGACAAGCAAAGTCTGACTGCAAACTGCACCCTCCTCCCAACACAGTAACCTTCTATCCAACTCTTAACTGTTAACATACCAGCAGAATCGGTCTCTTGCAATGTTACTGTTAAACTTCTACTCTTCTTTTTACTTTTTAAACAGCTTTTTAAACAGCTGTTACTTATTTGACAATTTTAAAGAGTAACGTTGTGTTTCTAACGCAGTATCTATCACACACAGATAACCATTTCACTACGTACACCTTTCAGAATCTATAAAATACATTTGCTGAGTTTCTCCTGCTTTGGCAAGGTATATTTAAATATAAATTCAGAATTTAGATCTATAACTTTAAGGACCAATTGACTCATGAAGTCTATCTTTAAATAATCGCTATGGCTGAAATTAATGGGAGTTGCAGTCCACACCACCTTCTAGCCATGCAGCTCCTGACCCTAAGCCCCCTAACTCTTACACTTTGCTCTTAACGCTAAACCCGTCTCATGCTCTAATTTTACCTTAAAACCCTACGTCCCCTTCAATAGAAGCCCCCCTAAGAATACTACAAACCTAAGCCCCCCCCCCAAAAAAAACCTAACAACAACCCCAGTACTAATCCCTCAACCCTAAAAGTCCACCTCAACTTAAAATCATTCACCCAAACCTCAGCTCAACTGTTATGTTGTCCCCTGCGTCGTGTATAGAATTGCTTTAAGACGGTATCTGACGTTTCCATGGTTTCCATACCGTGTATCCAGGAACACAGAAATTTTATGTGTAATATTTTCACTGTCATTGCATTCATTGTTACATGTCCTGCTCACTGACTGACTGCTATGTTATAATGTCATTAATGCTTGTCGTTACCTTTACGAGAATTAGGATGTGACTATACTGTTACATGAAGTCACCTGACAATGTTTCAGGGTACTTGTAACATCATTCATCAATCCATCACATGCAACACATGCTGATAAATAATCATTCCCTCTGAGAACTACAAACAATATTCCCTTGGAGTTGTAAGAAGAATATGTTTGAAAACAATGGAATTGCCTCCCAGTGGGAGCAGTAACAGTGATATAGAAAGGGTAGTAGATACCTGGAATTGCCTCCCAGTGGGAGCAGTAACAGTGATATAGAAAGGGTAGTAGATACCTGGAATAGCCTTCCAGTGGGAGCAGTAACAGTGATATAGAAAGGGTAGTAGATACCTGGAATAGCCTTCCAGTGGGAGCAGTAACAGTGATATAGAAAGGGTAGTAGATACCTGGAATAGCCTTCCAGTGGGAGCAGTAACAGTGATATAGAAAGGGTAGTAGATACCTGGAATAGCCTTCCAGTGGGAGCAGTAACAGTGATATAGAAAGGGTAGTAGATACCTGGAATAGCCTTCCAGTGGGAGCTGTAACAGTGATATAGAAAGGGTAGTAGATACCTGGAATAGCCTTCCAGTGGGAGCAGTAACAGTGATATAGAAAGGGTAGTAGATACCTGGAATAGCCTTCCAGTGGGAGCAGTAACAGTGATATAGAAAGGGTAGTAGATACCTGGAATAGCCTTCCAGTGGGAGCAGTAACAGTGATATAGAAAGGGTAGTAGATACCTGGAATAGCCTTCCAGTGGGAGCAGTAACAGTGATATAGAAAGGGTAGTAGATACCTGGAATAGCCTTCCAGTGGGAGCAGTAACAGTGATATAGAAAGGGTAGTAGATACCTGGAATAGCCTTCCAGTGGGAGCAGTAACAGTGATATAGAAAGGGTAGTAGATACCTGGAATAGCCTTCCAGTGGGAGCAGTAACAGTGATATAGAAAGAGTAGTAGATACCTGGAATAGCCTTCCAGTGGGAGCAGTAACAGTGATATAGAAAGGGTAGTAGATACCTGGAATAACCTTTCAGTGGGAGCAGTAACAGTGCTATAGAAAGGGTAGTAGATACCTGGAATAACCTTCTAGTGGGAGCAGTAACAGTGATATAGAAATGGTAGTAGATACCTGGAATAGCCTTCCAGTGGGAGCAGTAAAGGCTAACAGTGATATAGAAAGGGTAGTAGATACCTGGAATAGCCTTCCAGTGGGAGCAGTAACAGTGATATAGAAAAGGTAGTAGATACCTGGAATAGCCTTCCAGCGGGAGCAGTAACAGTGATATAGAAAGGGTAGTAGATACCTGGAATAGCCTCCCAGTGGGAGCAGTAACAGTGATATAGAAAGGGTAGTAGATACCTGGAATAGCCTCCCAGTGGGAGCAGTAACAGTGATATAGAAAGGGTAGTAGATACCTGGAATAGCCTCCCAGTGGGAGCAGTAACAGCGATATAGAAAGGGTAGTAGATACCTGGAATAGCCTCCCAGTGGGAGCAGTAACAGCGATATAGAAAGGGTAGTAGATACCTGGAATAGCCTTCCAGTGGGAGCAGTAACAGCGATATAGAAAGGGTAGTAGATACCTGGAATAGCTTTGAAGTGGGAGCAGTAACAGTGATATAGAAAGGGTAGTAGATACCTGGAATGGCATTCCAATGGGAGCAGTAGTGGGAGCAGTAACAGTGATATAGAAAGGGTAGTAGATACCTGGAATAGCCTTCCAGTGGGAGCAGTAACAGTGATATAGAAAGGGTAGTAGATACCTGGAATAGCCTTCCAGTGGCTGCAGTAACAGTGATATAGAAAGGGTAGTAGATACCTGGAATAGCCTTCCAGTGGGAGCAGTAACAGTGATATAGAAAGGGTAGTAGATACCTGGAATAGCCTTCCAGTGGGAGCAGTAACAGTGATATAGAAAGGGTAGTACATACCTGGGATAGCCTTCCAGTGGGAGCAGTAAGGGCTAACAGTGATATAGAAAGGGTGGTAGATACATGGAGTAATAATATCAGTAACCAAGGTTAAGGAATTGAATAATGTGAATATTCCTAGAAGTTGCCGTATTATAGTCCATTTATTTGTTATCTGTTGGCTCCAGCCATTTTGCTGCAATGTGTAATTAGGAGTCTGAGATTGAGATTGAGAGATAGATAGATCTTTAATGTGATATTGACACATTGTTCTCTCTCTGTGACTTGCTTTACCTCTAATCCTGATCCTTAACCTTTCTTGTTATGGTCATTAAACAGCCAATCGCAATATGTTTCTCTCTGCTATAATTACAGGGATCTATGTCACAAAGTGAGGGCTGAAATCGATCTGTTGGTCCTGAGGTTGGATTTTTTTCAGTGTCACTAGAAATTAATCAATAAAATATAGGAATGATGTGATTATATTAGGTCTCTCCTCATTCATTGAGTTGGGAAATCAACAGAATGCATAACATTAACTGCATCTGGACGAAAGTGAAACGCTATGTTTTCTCTCTGGCCATTTCTGAGATAATGATCAGGGAAAGGTCAGAGGAACCGTCATTTAGAAAATTGGAGAGGGGTTGGATAAGGTCAGAAAAAAGAGTTACAGTAATAGAAAGTAAAAGAGAAGATTATGGCTTGGAAAAATAAGCTGGGAGAGAATACAGAGAGGCAAATTGATTTGGGATGGAAAAATGGACACATGGGTTTGAACTGGACGGACATGTAGAAGGAAAAAAGCAATGGTTGAGGAGACACAAAAAGGCAAGGAATAGTGGTAGGATGGAAAGGTAAGATAAAGAAGCAGGAATCATGAGACTCCAAGAATGAGTGTTCGAAGGAACTATAGGGTATATTATTATTAGCGTCAATATATTCAACGGAGACTTACAATTATAGAAAGGAGATATTGAGATGTGAAGAAGGTCCTGCTCCAACAAGTTTATAATCTATGAGAATTTGAGGTTCTACGGCAGAGATTGGCAACTTTCTTCTCTCCAGATGTTGTGGACTATATCCCCCATAATGCTCTTACACCCATAATGCGGGTAAAGCATCATGGGAGGAATGGTCCAAAACATCTGGAGTGCCGAAGGTTGCCTATGCCTGTTCTAAGGCTGTATGATGTTACCACTGCTCTTCAATAAATGTTGGAAACATTTTAGCTATAAGACGGATAAAACTGATATTGGAAGCAGATTTGGAGAAAAGCAAGAAGAGTAAGAAGAATGACAAAGATGAAAGTCCGAAATGGAGTCTGAGAAGCCCACAATAACGCACATCTTATGAAGCTATAATGAGCACTGGGCAGGTTCAGCTCATTTGAGCGTGAAATGAACATATTATAACAGGCCTTCTGTATTCTTTCTTTACCCCATATAGAACTTTCACGTCTAAAGTGTTCCCTGGGTCTTCCAAGCTGTACTGAGCTCCTATCATTAATGTTTATAGAGCGGGCAGTGACTCAGTGCGTTAATCAGTATTGTGGGATTTGGGAGCCTGACAGATACCTGTGGTCTCATTTGGGGCCAGAAAAGCGAGATCTTAGCAGGATCAGAATGCCACACAGAGATAATTAAAGCCAGGGACTGTCTGTTCCGAGGGATCAGAGCTAAGCTGTTTGGCGATGGAATGGCACCGTGTTTC